GGAACATGATGAAATTCAACAAGGGCAAGTGCCGAGTGCTGCACCTGGGGAGGTTGAACCCCATGCACCAGTACAGGCTGGGGGCTGACTTGCTGGAAAGCAGCTCTGCTGAGAGGGACCTGGGAGTCCTGGTGGATGACAAGCTGACCATGAGCCAGCAGTGTGCCCTTGTTGCCAAGAAGGCCAATGGTATCCTGGGATGCATTAGGAGGAGTGTGGCCAGCAGGTTGATGGAGGTTATCCTCCCCCTCTACTCTGTCCCAGTGAGACCCCACCTGGAGTACTGTAGTCCAGCTCTGGGCTCCCCGGTTCAAGAAAGATGAGGAACTCCTAGAGAGAGTCCAGAGGAGGGCAATAAAGATGGTGAGGGGACTGGAGCATCTCTCCTATGAGGAAAGGCTGAGAGAGCTGGGCTTGTTTAGCCTGAAGAAGAGAAGACTGAGAGGGGGATCTCATCAACACATACAAATACCTTAAGGGTGGATGTCGCGAGGATGGAGCCAGACTCTTTGCAGTGGTGTCCAGCAACAGGACAAGGGGCAATGGGTACAAACTGAAACATAAGAGGTTTCAGTTGAATATGAGGAAAAACTTCTTTACTCTGAGGGTGACAGAGCCCTGGACCAGGCTGCCCAGGGAGGTTGTGGAGTCTCCTTCTCTGGAGATATTCAAAGCCCGCCTGGACAAAGTCCTGTGTAACTTGCTCTAGGAGAACCTGCTTTAGCAGGGGGGTTGGACTAGATGATCTCCCAAGGTCCCTTCCAACCCTTGCCATTCTGTGATTCTGTGAGAGGTGTCAATAAAGCCCACTAGCCTTGCCCTGTCATGCATATAATTAATACCAAATCCAGCAAGTACACAAGCATGGAGGCAGCCTTGCTGTGGGGGAAAGAGGGAGTGTGCACAGTGTGGTAGAGACACACACCATGAGATCTTATGTCCTTTGTACTGGTGTGGTAGTGGGAGGTCTTACAGCTCCTTTTGCTCTTGTAATAAGTGTTGCGGCAATGGTGCATGTAAGTACCTATAGTAGGTTATAGCAAAGAACTGCACAGCTGCAATGCATTGGACATAATTTTAGGATTCTAAGGAATTCTAATTAATGTTTAGAATTTTTCAGAAAATTTAGGGTTCTAGAAATTCTAAACTAGACTCCTTCTATAGCTAATGGGAACAGACAGCACTAGAGTGCAGTTCACCCCATTCATTCTCCATACTGACTACACAAGTGCCTGAGCATCAAGCTCTGACTAGACACTTTACTTTCAGATATTTAAAATAAAAGGGATCAATCTCCCTATAAACAACAGGAAAAATCTCACCCGTGTTGGAAAGGTCAGCGTTTTTGCAGATTCAGCTTCAGAGGTCAGCAATGAAGCTGTCCCTCTCACCTTAGCTTCATACGACTAACAGTAACACTTGCTACAACCCAAATAACCCATCGACCGCTACATCCAATTCAACTTGGTGCTCACTTGTGGGTATCTCTGAAATACCTGGGGGCCTACTCAATATGCTTAACACTGCTGTGAACAAATATCTACACAAATCCCTTGTAACTATCTGTGGAAATATTTATCTGTCCTCTAGGAAAACAAAGGCAAACAGCCACTGAAAAACTTCTGGATCGGTGTACTCCAGGCTCATGTCCCAGAAGAACAGCAAGACCAAGCTATTTGGACGATATTGTACTTGTGCCAAGTATCAGAGCCTGATAAAACTGTGGGGAGGCATAAGAAGGCAAGAAGGACTTGCAAGGGCTAGATCTTCCTCTGCATCTCACTGGGGCCGTAGTACATGTGCCTCACCTTTAGACTGACAGCTTAGCCAGCTGAGGTACAAAGCAAGCTAAGATACCAAGCTCAACTAATAACTTGGTATGTATGGAAGGAGTAGAAATGGCTGAGGCAAGTGCTCGAACGAGATCCCAAGGGGAGTAATTTATTTGTGTTCGTACAGGCACCTGGTGCCACTTCAGATAAACTAGGTTATCTTAGATACCCTCACAGGGCTGTTTAGTATGGGACAGACCCTATAGGAGAGTACTGACAGGACTTGAACACTGCTGGAGCAGCAGTGGAAGACCATACAGGACTACATAGGGCATTTAAAGTGGTACTGGACATATGTGTTCAGATAAGTGAATCCCGCCCGAGATAACTTTGTGCATAGAAGGGGGTCAGATGAGACTGTCACGCACTATAGCATGAGCAAGCTTTGCAGTGAAGATTGGTCCACTGGGACAAGGTTTCCCACATGAAGGATCCCACCAGAGAAAGATCAGTGTAAATATTACAGACTGTATCAGTCAAGGCATAGTGTACTCACTTGCAGTTTCTACAGTGGTAACAGCAACATATAAATGAAACCCTTCCAGAGTGGAAATACTCCTTCTTAATTTCTCTTCCAGAAGTGTTGTATTTAAAGTAACTTTTCCTTTTCCATTCTGAATCTAAACCAAAAATAGGAATAAAAAAAAAGTGACAGCCCTTGCTGGTTTGTTGCCATAAAAATTAAAAATTTTTTGCTTATAGTATGACTATGGTGTTACAGGGATCTACATTTCAATGATTTCTGCCAATATTCAGCTCACCTGGGATAAATCAGAATAGTTGCACTGAACTCCAGTACTTACCGATAGCTGCTGCTCCAGGCCTGGAACAAAGACCTTTTTCTCGTTTTCATCAATTACACCAAATCGCACATATGCAGCACCTTGAATCCCTTTCCCATAAGAGTGTCTTTGGAAGGAAGAAAAGTGAGGAGGTGAATCATTACATTAATAAAAATGAAGCATAAATCAAACTAACAATTTTATGCCAAAATAAAACAAGGATATCTGTAGGCATCCCATCTGTAACTAATAGCGTGAAACCAGAAAAATAATCACTCTCTCTGACAACACAAACATGAAGACTTTTACTGGTCCGTACAAAGTGGTGATTTCAGGTGCATAAGGGGACAGAGAATCGTCTTAGGGACCGATGTGAATTATTTGGTACTTCTGAAGACCTCCAGAGTCAGATCCTACCTGCTGAAATTTTAATACCTACATTAGGCAGAGTAGACACCCTCTGCCCCATATCTTTCCTGTGGATTTAGGCAATGCAGCACAGGGACTTCTTCCAAGTGAAATATTTGCCAGACAGGTATCGGGCCAGAACACCCCTTAACTCTCCGTATAGGTCATGGAGGGAGAGGATAGGGCATGCTCTTGCATCTGGCAGGCTCCTTATTTAAGGAAACCCTGGCAGATGGCATCATCCTGCAGCAGAGCATGCAATGTGCTACATGAAACCTGTCATGGCCAAGGTGGTGTCTTTTGTTTGTAGAAATCCTGCTTTGTCTCAGTTCTGTAATGGCTTATTTTTGTCTAAGCAAAGCCTCTTTCAAATTGACCTGAGCAGCAGCACTGGTGAAGCTAACTGAGAGGGAGGTCTTACGAAAGCTGCTTAAAGTGCCAGAACTAATAACTGTGGGAAACAACAGTCAATATACCAAACAACTGTTCATTACATGCATGGCCAGTTCAGAGAAATAAGTTCTATTATCAGGAATTCCATATATTGATTTTGATGAAAGTCAGGCAGGCTCATGTAGCATCACTAAGACCTTTTCCGATAGACAAAAGAACAGTATCCAGTCTTTCAATCCCATTTTTCCTCTTAAATAATTATATCAATGAGTAGTGAAGTATATGTGAAGGAGTTGCACAGTCCATAAACTCAGAACTGAGTGCTGCAATAACATAAATTTTAGAAAGGATTAAAATATTAAAGCCAGTTATCTGATATCACTTCATATCACAGTATCAATTAATCATGATTAAAGCTAATGATTATTCAGTAGAACCAAGTAAAGAAGTGATGGTGAGCAAGAGTGGATTAGAAGAGTTGAGTTTGTTCAGCCGAGCAGAAGGAGCTGAGTACAGGGTTCTGTCTGGTCTCTCAAGGTGTGCTGGGGAAAGGAAGGATCAGCATGGTCAAGGTAAAGAGCTCAAGGACAGGGGGCAGAAGACCAACAGGGCATGAGCTGGCCAGGGATGAATTTACACCAGAAACAAAACCCGCTAGAACTGTGTGTGCGTGGAGGATCAGTCTTCCACTTGGATACAGTGCCAGGGTCCATGCAGCAAATCTAGTGACTGCACCCTGTTTGGACCAGGTAAATTCAACTAAATTAGAGTGCAGTGCTGGCTCAGAGGCTGTGGCCAGCTGGCACAGCACAGCCCGTGCCCACTCTACTAAACCCCCTGTCTTCCACAGCAGGGTGGCCACATGCAGACCTGGGGTGGACCTTGGTCTGTGCTTCC